CCTTCTTGAGCATGTGATCAGCTGGTTTTGGTTGTCAGCAGCAAAACTGGTTGATCCACTCTGAGAAGGTGCTATTTAAGAGACTGAGCTGAATACAGCTCCTCAGACTGAGGAAGTCTCTCGGATGAGAGACGAAACGTTTCTATATTTTTTTGTTGATTTGCTTTGTTTTGTTTTTTTGAATGTCCAGAGGACCAGATTTAACTTTTTTAGATCTCAGAAGGAGTACTTTCAGGAGGATCAATCCTCACAAGGCAACTGGCCTGGACAACATCCCGGGGAAGGTGCTGAAAGACTGTGCCGATCAGCTCTGCGAGGTGCTGGCTGACATAATTAACTCTTCCCTCACACTGGCAACTGTTCCCACCTGCCTCAAGACTGCCACCATCCCAGTTCCAAAGAGCTCTACAGTGACTGGCCTGAATGACTTATCGGCCAGTAGCCCTCACCCCGATATTCTCTAAATGCTTTTACAAACTGGTCATGAACCACATCAATGTGGACCTTCACCAGTACGCATACCGTGAGAATCAATCAACAGAGGATGCCATCTCCTCTGTGGTCCACACTGCTCTCACCCTCAGCATGGGCTCCCCCACAGGGCTGTGTGTTGAGCCCCCTCCTGTTCACTCTGCTAATATATGACTGCGTACAAACCCGTCCAGGCTGTCATATTGTAAAGTTTTGTAGATGATACAGCGGTGGTGGGATGCATCAAAAATAAAGAGGAGTCCGGCACAGGCAGGAGGTGGACCTGGAGAGTTGGTGCAGGAAGAACAACCTTCACATCAATGTGAAGAAGACAAAGGAGATGGTCGTGGACTTCAGAGGGAATAAACACACCTACCCCCCCATAGAGGATCTGCTGTGGAAATGGTCTCCAGCTACAAGTACTTGGGTGTGCACATGAATGACAACCTCAGCTGGAGCAACAACACCACCAGCCTGATCAAGAAAGCTCATCAGAGACTCTACTTCCTCAGGCGGATGAGACGAGCTGGACTGGGAAGCTCAGTCCTCACCTCCTTCTTACAGGTGTGCAGTGGAGAGCATCCTGTGCTCCAGCATCGTGTGGCATGGAGGCTGCACAGCTGCAGAAAGAAAAATTTTGCAGAGAGTGGTGAAGGCTGCACAGAAGTCTGTCGGAGTCAGCCTCCCCACCATCACAGACATTTACACCTCCAGATGCAGGAAGAGGGCCACCTGCATCATGAAGGACCTCACACACCCAGCACAAACTTTTTGCCCCACTCCCCTCAAGCAGAAGAGCATTAAGGGCAGAACCACCAGGCTTAGGAACAGCTTCTGCCGTGAGGATGTTACTCATCTAATCAGGAAAAATCACTGTGATGCCACTGTTGATATGTGCTGCTGACTAGCCATGATGATGATTTCATGCTGCTGATTATTTCATGTTGCTCTGTTCATTAGTCCTCATCTGTTCACTCAGACTTATGTTTGTGCTGCTGTTGTTTTGGCGCATTGTTTTTGCGTTGTTGATGCTGAGTGTGTTCTAAGTTTAGTGAATGTAGTATATTCTTAGTTCATGACTCAGATCTTACTGTTTTTTTTTATTTGCATTTTTGTTTGTCTGTAACTGGGACCCTGTGTACATAGTTTCGTTCCACCTCATGTACAAACCGGATTCCAAAAAAGTTGGGACACAACAAATTGTGAATAAAAACTGAATGCAATGATGTGGAGGTGCCAACATTTAATATTTTATTCAGAATAGAACACCAATCACATCATATCCTGATGCATGCTCACCAATCACAGATCAAAAGTTTAAACTGAGAGAATGTATCATTTTAAGGGAAAAATCTGTTGTTTCCAAATTTCATGGCGTCAACAAATCCCCAAAAAGTTGGGACAAGTCCATTTTTACCACTGTGTGGCATCCCCCCTTCTTCTTACAACACTCAACAGACGTCTGGAGACAGAGGAGACCAGTCTCTAAAGTTTAGAAATAGGAATGCTCTCCCATTCATGTCTAATACAGGCCTCTAACTGTTCAATCGTCTTGGGCCTTCTTTGTCGCACCTTCCTCTTTATGATGCGCCAAATGTTCTCTATAGGTGAAAGATCTGGACTGCAGGCTGGCCATTTCAGTACCCGGATCCTTCTCCTACGTAGCCATGATGTTGTGATTGCTGCAGAATGTGGTCTGGCATTATCGTGTTGAAAAATGCAGGGTCTTCCCTGAAAGAGATGACGTCTAGATGGGAGCATATGTTGTTCTAGAACCTGAACATAGTTCTCTGCATTAATGGTGCCTTTCCAGACATGCAAGCTGCCCATGCCACAAGCGCTCATGCAACCCCATACCATCAGTGATGCAGGCTTCTGAACGGAGCGTTGATAACAACTTGGGCTATCCTTGTCCTCTCTGGTCCGGATGACATGGTGTCCCAGTGTTCCATAAAGAACTTCAAATCGTGACTCATCTGACCACAGAACAGTCTTCCATTTTGCCACACTCCATTTTAAATGACCCCTGGCCCAGTGCAAACGTCTGTGCTTGTGGAGCTTGCTTAGAAATAGCTTCCTCTTTGCACTGTAGAGTTTCAGCTGGCAACGGCAGATGGCACGGTGGATTGTGTTCACTGACAATGCTTTCTGGAAGTATTCCTGAGCCCATTCTGTTATTTCCTTGACAGTGGCATTCCTGTTTGAGGTGCAGTGACGTTTAAGGGCCCGGAGATCACGAGCATCCAGTAGAGTTTTACGACCTTGACCTTTACGCACAGCGATTGTTCCAGATTCTCTGAATCTTTTGATGATGTTATGCACGATTGATGATGATAACTTAAAAGTCTTTGCTATCTTACACTGGGTAATACCATTCTGGTATCGTTGCACTTTCTGTGCAACTATGGTGGAATTGGTGATCCTCTTACCTTCTTGGCTTCTGAGAGACACCGACAATTTGAGAAGCTCTTTTTATACCCAATCATGTTGTCAATTGACCTAATTAGTGTTAATTGGTCTTCCAGCTGTTCGTTATATGCTCAATTTCCTTTTTCCAGCCACTTATTGCTACTTGTCCCAACTGTTTTGGGATTTGTTGACACTGTGAAATTTTGAATCAACATATTTTCCTTAAAATGTTATTTACTCAGATTAAACTTTTGATCTGTCATCTGTTATATTACGAATAAAATATTGACATTTGCCATCTCCACATCATTGCATTCAGTTTTTATTCACAATTTGTTTAGTGTCCCAACTTTTTTGGAATCCGGTTTGTACCACATGTGGTGTGTATGACTATAAAAATCCTTGTTGCCTTTACCAGCCAATCTAAACTATTTTAAGGTCATAGAAGACGTCAACCAAACCACAATTTCTTTATTGGAAGTGGTCTTAAAGAACAAGTGTGTTGCCATGGTGACACCTCGGACAACTTACTGTGTCCCGTCTTGTGGATGGACAGACGAGTTAGGGGACAAAAAGTTCGACATTTCTGTTATCCTGCAAGCTGAAGCATAGACAAGGTTTTAACAAAGAACTCACCTGTGACCTTGAAATTAAGAATTGTCCTTGACCCATGAGGTGTCCAGCTTTGCAGTTTGACATTTTTATGTTTTTTTTTTTCTTCACTGGCCCTGGAACAAAGTGCACACTTTCCTCTTCCCTATCCCTGTTCTGCTTTTTTGCTGTCCATGCACAGGAGCTCCTATTTTTACACATCTTCCGAAATGAAAACTACTTTTATGGATCTGACCAACTGGACTTTTGACTCAAATTTGACAAAATCTTTTCAACAAAGTGACAGAGTCCTGGAGAACCCTCATCTGCTCAGACGACACGTGCAGCTGAATATATCTCTGGGGAAGTGGAATGTGATGTGTGTGTCTACTTCTGCTGTCGATTGAGGACACCAAAATTGCATATAATTATAGTTATGATAACAGGTTACCTGTTTTTGGAATAGTCTGGATCCTGGTCTATCAACATACAAAGAAGACGGCCGCAGCTAATTTGGACCTCGTCAGGCTGCTGCCTATGTGAAGGTTTGGTTTGTGCTTTGAGGACTCAGAATCAGCTGATTTACGATAAACCGTTTGGGACTCGTTAGCATGAAAACAAACTTGAAGGTAAGCATGAACCAGTAGAATGCACCATAATCTGGCCATTTTGGACGTTGGAAGTATCAGTAACTAAAGGCTGACAAGAAAAATAGTCTGCCTGAATAAATCAACAATTGTGGATTATCTGAATCTGACTCCCTGGTTGGCCTCGAAACAGGCCGACTTATCATTTTCTCCTGAGAAATGTGTAAACTAAGGAAAAGCTTCATTTATAGCAATCCCCCCAGAACTGTGCCGGCTGACCAACATCTTATCAGGACAATGGACCATCTGTTTAGTGCTTCATGGACCACCTCGTCATCAAATGCATATGTAACATGTTCATAAATGTGCTGCTGGCAGAGTTTTTAATGTCTTAAATCGTGTCCTGTAAGGACAAGGTGTATAGATCTTTTTTGTAATACCACTATCCTCTCCTCATGGCTTTGTCCCTTTATCTTTCTAAAAGACGTATTCTGAAAAGGATAAGAAGTTTGCGCTATCACAGCAGCAGCTACATGCACTCCGTCCATCTTTCGGACGACTGTATGGACATATTCTCGTATCTTGGTCGTATCTCGGTACAATGATAATCAAGCTTATTCTGATTAATTTCAGTTTAGAGTTCAAACAAGGCATGAAAGACGGACAGCGTTAGAACGCAATATGTCCACTACTTTGGGCCACACCAGAACCTAAGTAAAAATACTTAAATTTATTGTAAATGTCACTGAAGACACAAAAGGTATAGATAAAAATTAACTTCAAAAGTTGTGGAAATAAAAAAATGTGACATCCCTTTAAAACATTTTTGTAGTGAAATTTTATCAGTCTGAAATCTTATGCCCACAAAAACACACAACAATTAGAGAAAAAAAACCAAACATTTAATAACAAATACAAAAGTTTATGCTGAAGCACTAACATTAAAGGAGTATGAATTCCTGTAAAAATAGAATTTGTTTTACACGGTTAAGGATAATAAAGATGCTTTAAACTAGCTCTTCCTGAAGAGAAGTCAGAGAAAAACAGAAGTTCTGGACCTCCAGTTCCAGCTCCTAAAAAACAAAAGAATAAATTAGGCACAAGTTGGATGGAAATCTGAAGTTACTTTAAATGTTTCCTCCACTCTTTTGAACAGCAGCCCTCGTTTAATAAACAACCACTTCAGCTATAAAACCGAGACCATAAAACACCGTAGGCCATTTTGTTTTTATAATAATAATATTAAATAAAAAAAAAACAATGATTCATTAATGTTGCCATTTTATTTACATCCCAATGCATTCTGGGTAAATCAAGTAGACAGGTTTCTTTGGTGCTAGCTTTATCCATCTTGAAAGTTATTTTTAGATGTTATCTGAGCCCTTTAGTTTAAACCGGAGCGCGTTGTCAGAGGAGAATGGAGACATGTATACAAACAAAATATATACATGTCCTAATAAAACAAACATCAACAAGTTGACTGCATTTGATCAGTTTGACATAGATTTTGTGAATAACTAATGCAAAGTATAACTTTATTGCATGGGTTAAAGCAGAAAAAAAATCTCTTGACTGAAAATGTTTCTACTCCTAGAGCTTACCCAACTTACCAATGAGTATAAATTAAATTGTTTTTTCTATATTGACAAGATTTCTACCCTAAAATGATAATTTCATTCAAAGTGATTATATTTAGAAGATTTCAGCTCATGAAGTCTTGATTCTATTTATTTTTCATATTTGATCATTTATTATCACAGTAGTTCCTGCTCAGTATGATTTTAAATATACCATATTTTTCAGCCTATAAGTAGGCCTGTCGCAATAAACAATAAATCAATTAATCGCATGATAAATGAAAATTATCAACCTCATTTTCATTTATCAGCTTTATTGTTTCTTCATGTCTCTCTCTTTCTACTGAAGACACTGGATGACAAAAAGCTCAACTCCGGTGCTCTTCACTGACCCCTCCCTTTTTCTTTAAAATCCATTTCAACCGTCCAAAATCATGTTTTTGGATCGTTAAAAGCAACCAAGCTGAGAAGCTAAGCTTTGAGCTAAGCTAACAGGCCGACCTCGAGAAAAAACCTCCGTCTTGTCGAAGCTCCAAAATTCATGGTTGAAACCCGTGCCTTCGTGTGAAAAGTTGTTTTTCTCTGCGAAAAGAAGCTGAGAACTTGTTTACTGATTTTTTTTATTAAAACTTTGTGTGACAAATGCTATGCTAAAGAGCTCAAACCACACCGAGCATCTGCCATTTGAGAACTTAAGAGAGACAACCCATGTCACGTCAAGGGGCCTCCCTCCCATTTTTCTTAAAGACACGTTGCTCGCTCCCTCACTATCCATTCTTCGGTTCAGTCTTATACTGGCATCCGGTGGTCAAAAAAATGTACTAAACACAAAACAAATTAAACATTTCTTCTTAAATTTGACAATAATTACTAATTATTGTCAAATTTCAAACAATATTATCATTTATCGCAATAATTTCTGAGACAATCACCCAGCAAAATTTGTTATCGCGACAGGCCTGCCTATATATCAAGTTTTTTTGCATAATTTGCACACTCTGCGACTTATACACTGAAGCAACATTTATGGACTTTCCCCCGTATTTATAAACCAATTTTTGGCTGAGATATGACTGTTTTCATTCATTCTGACTGAAAATATTGAACACTACTATTTTCAGCCGCTAGATGGCACTCGAGTAGTATGGCATGCCGTTGTGTCATGTAATAGGTAAACGTGGCTATTGATGACACAATCTGCTTGCCATAGTTAGAAACCTTCGTCCAGCTCGCTTGGAGCAATCGTCAAATCAGCTTCATTTCTCTGCGCCGCCCTGGTGAAATGCAGCTAATTTGACCATTGAAGTGCATTCATTAAGTAAAACTTCAATTGAGACACACATTTGATATAAAGTTGAGCAAACAGATAATTGTTTTTAGGTGCTTATCTTGTTAAATTTTGAAGAAATGCACAGCGTTCCTCCCTCCTGATATCCTCCCGGTCTGTGCGCTCCCAGAGCACCAAGGCAGCAAATACTTTTGAAATGCAGCTGATTTAACCAATAAAAGTGCATTTATAAAGCAAAAGTTCAATAGAGACACACCTTTACTATAAAGTCGAGCAAACAGAGAATTGTTTTTAGGTGGTTATCTTGTTAAATTTTGAAGAAATGCACAGCGAGCCCTCCCATGTGCATGCCTACTTCAACGAATCGGCTTTTGAAACGCAGCTGATTTGATCGTCCAAGTGCATTTGTCAAGCAAAAGTTAGACCGAGACACATTTACTATAAAGTCGAGCAAACAAACAATTGTTTTTAAGTGTTAATTTTGTTAAATTCTTGGTAAAGTCCTCCCGTGCGGTGCAACGTATACGGTGGAAAATACCGTAATTGAGTAAATTTGTAAATTTAGTAGTTTAGTACATCCAGACAGACAACACCTTGTTAATGTTATATACCATGTAGAAATGATTTTTTGTATGATTGTTTATGACAAACTACGAACACCCAAAACTGATTCTCAGAGAGAACTTTGTGAGTTTAAGTTAAAAAATAAAAAATAAACCGACGCACATCTTTGTTACAACAAACAGCAGAAACAGCCTCTCACACTGTGATAGGTGAGAGATACAAAAGTCGCAGGAGGTCGGGGCGCAGTGAGGGTGTCAGTCCTGGTATCTCCTGGGCTGCAGTGACTTGGTCACGTGCAAACACAAGTTTAATAATTTATGATGTCATCACCTTCATTCATTCAACTTTTATTTATACAGGTCAGTCCCATTGAGCCTCGGGGACTCATTAACAAGAGAGACCTGAGACAAGACCGTAGGCCCCGCCCTGCTCGGATCAAACTGCAGCTCTGGTTCTCTTTATTGGTTGAGAGCAGCATCAGTTTAATCCCAGTATCGTCACTAGATTGGACAGTTTTAAGTAGACGACAACAAAACAAGTTTTCTTCCCGTCATTTTTACAGATGACAGAAATCAGTCCTGGCCATGTTCACAATGACAGAACTTTAATCCACGTTTTTGTCATGTTATAACATTTTAGCCTCGACTCCTCGTATTTTAGTCTCCACTACAACAGATGTACGTCATCGTCCCAGTTTGCATTGCGCTAAAATAGTGATGTCCTCAGGTGAAAAATGTAGTAAATATATAATTTTTTAAAAGTAATTAGGAATTTTCACGTGTCAAACAACAACTTTTAGTAGAATAAATAACATGTTAAGGTCAATATGTTCAGGTAGTTGGAGATCCCTTTAATAAAGGATACAGAAAACCCAGAACTAAGATGTTTTATCAGCTTTAAATGCTGCCACTGTCACAAACTGAGATCCTGTAGGTGCACCTCATTTCTTTTTTAAACATCCGAACGAGTCAACAGAAAATGGGTCTTACTGACCTGCATTAGTGCCGTTTTGTTGTGGTCTCGTCTGTGTCTGTAGATGTTCTGACAGAGCAGAGCGTAGAGTTTCTCCAGCTTGTAAACCTCGTAGCCTTCAGTCTGGGTCACTATTCTGTCCAGAAGCTCCTAAAAAAAATACAGATCAGCTCAGCTTCCGGTTTTATTTGGAGGAAATATCCGGGATAATGAAAGGATTAAAAAAAAAAAAAAAATACACCTCACTGGAGTTTTCCCTCCTTTCACACAGAGAAATATCAGCTCAGAGTCTCACACACCTTTAATCTGTTTCTGTCCACAACCAGGGGAGGCGTTTCCTGGTCCAGGATCTGCACAGCTTTGTCCACATCGATCACCTGCTGCTGCAGAACCGTGCTCTTCAGGGCTCGGGTCATTCGCTGTACGATGTGCTCTGAGACAAAACACAAAGGGTCAACACCACAGCCACAGTTTGCTGCCATATTGTCACATAAGCTTTGATGATCTGATTGGAACCATTTATTGAAGTGTTTCCAGTCCAACCTGCTCTTGTCTCTGTGGGTTCTGTCTCCATCGGCTCAGCGGGACTCTTCAGCTTGGTTTCGTGTACTGAAGCTACTCGGTTCTGTTCTTCAGACGGGTCCTTCACAATCTGAGGTTCTGATTGACAATCAGTGAGGGACTGTTCTGGACTAGTGGGTAGTGGGTCTCCCTCCGTCTCTGCACTGTTCTCTTTATTAGTGTGAACTGAGATGTTTTCATTTCTCTCCCCTCTCTTGTTTTCACCGTTTCCTGGTTGTAGGTCGTCTTCTTCTTTATTTTTTATCTGGACGTCATCTTCCTGTGTCACTACGTCTTCGTCAGCTGGTTTCTTCTCTTCTCTCTCTGCATCTTCATCCTGGCTGCTCTCAGCTTCAGCAGTTGCATCAGAACCACCTTCCTGAGCTGCTGCAGGTTCTGGCTCTTTGTCAACATTTGTCCGAGTCTCTTTTGCTCCACTGGCATCACAATCCTCCGCTCCTCCTTCCTTCTCAACCTCGTCATCTCCATCATCAACATCCTCATCGGAACCAAAGGGTGCCTCATCTCTGGACACGTGAGGAGAGGAATAGTACTTCCTCTTTGGGATGCAGCCGGTTGACCAACGACTTTTCCGTCGTTTTTTCTTGTGGGCTAAAAATACAGAAGGAAAGAAAACACGGCTGTTGTCTTAACCCAAAAACTGTAAATGTGTCTTTGAGTTCACCGTACCTGTGATTTTAGGTGTTGCGACAGCAGGGACACTTGTGTCGGCAGCAACCACAACAGTAGATTCAACTTTGTGTCTTTGTGGGGCCGTGTTGGTGGCATCAGTATCAGTGGCAGGTTTGGGCTGTTTGGGGAGGACGTGGTAGAAAGTGGGAGTAAACCGTGCAGTGGAGCAACCTACGGTCAACAAATAATTTGATTTATTCAAGCTGCAGTTTTTCAACTTTATATTGTGTCTGCTTTAACCTGCACATAAGATTTTTGCAACCTAACTATAAATAAATTGTAGCTGAAACAAAAACAAACATGTCAAAGGTTTTAACAGTTAATAGGAAACACAGAGCTTTCAGTCACTTGTGTTATTGGGGGGGAAATCCATTTTTAGATGCATCATATTATGAACATGGAAGATCCTCAATCCATTTTCAAACGATTTTATTAATGTGTCACTTTGAGAGAGTTAGCAGTGTCGATGCTGCAGAGCTGTGTGGCCCAGTACAGCTGCCGTAGCTTGGTGTAGTAGAAACATGGAGTAAAACTGTTTCCACATCTTTTCTTTACTGAACCCTGGAGAAGATGTACCAGTATACAATATCGTAACATGACTAGCTTTAGTTATGACTTTGGAAATGTTTGGTTTGTGTAGACATGTCAGTGATGAGACACATTGCTAACCACGTTAGCTTTTTATTGAGGCGTGTTCAATGTTATCATCAAAGCTAATTCTTGGTTAGCATCTTATGACTCTAAAGGCCGTTTCTTACTTACTGGGAAGTATTTAGATATATATGCGTGTATAAATATGTATATATCAGGGTTTAGGTAAAATAAGACAGTCATTGAAGTATCAAGATACTCAAGATATATCAAAATGTTTTTGCTTTTTTAATTTATCTCACCACAGCTCTCTAAGTGGTCATATACCACTCCTGGTTTTAAAACAGAAATATTTAACTACATATACGACAAAGTCTTTTCAAAGCTAACAAACAGTTTTCACCTCTCGTCTTCCGTGACTCCACGATCTCTTCACAAATCTTCTCAAAATCTTCATCCAGTTCTTCACGGATGATGGCGTGGACGGTGTCCTTCAACGCACACGCTCTGTGGCGAATCTGACGATCTGCAGGAAAAATACTCGTATCATTGCACTCAAAAGATAAACGCACACACAAACAAATAAATCTAATTATGTGTTGTACTAATGTGTTGAAGAACATGTGTGAGATACCAGAAGGGTCCCTGTCTGGGTTGTATTCGAGGGCGTTCTGCCAGATGAGGTCCACGTCATGGAGAAACTCTTTGACCGTCCTGTACTGATGGAGGTCTATCTTTGACAGAACTGTCGACAGGGCCATGGGCGTCTTGATCACTTCAGCATAATCTGGAACCTACGGACACACAACAAGCATAGCGAGGAAAAGAAACACTTAAGATTACTGATGTTGCCCAATTTATTTTATATTTAAATATAAAAATACACTATACACATGATAAAACCCATCAAAACAGCTATTTCAAAGAAAACCTAGCTACAGCTCTGCCTGAGTCATTAAAACATTTACTGTACAGTTATAGTTTAAGCGGCTGAGCTTTAAGTAAAGCTGATAAGAAGTAGAACAGCTACCTCCTCTAGATCCACAGGCTTGGTAAAAGCCTTGAAGCGTTTATCTTGAGCAAGGCGGTTTGTGACGTCACGCAGAAAGAGACGAAGCTCTCTGAGCGTATCTTCCTCCTGTTCATCCAGACGGCGGCACTCCTCTTCAGTCAGCTGACGTGGTGGGGGTGGAGGGGCAACAGGAAGCACCTCTAATGCATGAAGCACTGGTGGGGGGGTCAAATTCAGGCATGAAAAGGGAAATAACTAATGTTAGGCTGCATAAAAACATTTCACATAAGCAGATCAGCTCAATCTACATTCCCATTTCATCTGTGATGAAAAATAACACATTATGTCACAAATTACACTTAGATTTAAATCGCTTCCTTTTTTTATTACATTTTGCACAATCTGCAGAAGAAGCTGAACATTATTCCACGATGAGCAGCCTCAGCTCTGAAGTTCTGTTCTTAATTCATGTTGTTAATGTTTAATATAAATATTTTCTAGTTAAGTTAGTCCCCATCTACACTAATCATTTCACTCATCACTCTGTGCCACAGAAACTAAAATACTGAAAGCTTTTTAACAGCATCTTCAGTTTGTCTCGTTTATCCTGATCCCACAACAAACTACATCTGTTTCCAGGGAATATTCAGCCAAGTTAGAACGATTCTTTCATCTTTTACTGTATTATGCTGTTAATGTGAGCTTTATTTGATCTCAGTAGATCACATTCTCACCAGATTTCTTTTTTGAAGCGGGGGCTTTTGCAACCTGATTGAGGATAAGATCCTCAAAGAAGTCCCTCCTCTCTCGGCTGGTTGGCACCGGGACATGAAAGACCTCTCCGTATTCGACCCGAAACAACTCCTGCACCTGAAAGAAGGAAGATGGAGACTGTCAATTCTTATGACAAGAGCAGAGCCACGTCAGAGAATCCTTTTAGATTCAAGAAAATTCAGATACACAATGTTTTCCTCAGTTGTCAGCGCAGACGATAGTTCCAAACGGAGTGTGCTGATGTGCTGTACCTCCACACTCAGCTGGTCCTGATGGAGGCTGCAGGTAGCCAGCAGCAGTATAGGAGCGAAGGCAGGGATGGAGCTCAGGAGGCTCAGGAAGGTTGCTCTGAGAGCAGGACCCACGGTCTCCCACCACTGACCGATATGTGGGATGTACAAGATACTGGGAGAAGTTCGTTTGGCTTCAACAAAAATCTTCAAAGCAAAAAACACCAGATGGACATTTATGGAGCAGCTCATCACAACTGGAAGCAAATCTAGAAGGATTTGTACAAATAAAAGGTTGAATGAAAAAAATAATTGATGCACGTTAATTAATGAAAAACTATTGGAATGGATAATTAACTGCTGTTTGAACATAAACGTAAAGATTAGAGATGCAAAATATTGTCGGCATATCGGACGATATTAGCAATAAAGTTAAATATTGGACATTCCATCAAATTAACTCAGACATAAAAAGTGATATCTATCCATCCATCCAGCCATCCATCCATCCATCCATCCATCCATCCATCCATCTATATATAAAATAAAGGCGCTGTTTTTGTATGACTGTTCGAGTGTTGTCATTGTGTTAGAGAGAGTAAATGTCATGAATAAATTAGACATTAAACATAATTCAAGTTGAAGTGTTACATCATTTTCAGTCCCTTTGTGGCATCTGCATTTGGTAGTGGGTCAAAAAAAACATGCAGAATAATGTAATAGTTTAATTCCACAGCAGAGAAAGCTATGCAGTCTCTGTAAGTAGGTCTAGGGAAAAAAATATTGGTACCATTATTGATTATTGGCCAAATAAGTTTGAACATATTGGCATATTGGATATCGGCCAAAAATCCAGTATTGTGCATCCCTAGTAGATTGTTCCTCAAGTCTAGTGTTTAAGAAATCTAAGTTCTTGTTTGTAAAAATTAATACTCCTCCTCCTTCTCAACACCAACAGTTATTTTGCTCATTTACATCAAGTTAAACTAAAACATGTTCTTCTCTAGAAAAACTGTTTTTAAACCATAACACAGGTTTGTCTGTAGTACAAATTTATCACCAAATCCTACAGCGTAAAGAGATGATGCCCATGAACTACAGATATTGTAGCAGCCATTTTGGCCAGTGAGCTCTATGAAAAAGTTCCCACTGAATTTGACAAGGCTGCAAAAAACAAAAACTCCTGACTGGCCTACATTGCTATCAAAGGTTACAGTAAATAATTTAATTGAACAAGTCTTGCACTGGTTACCACATATTTACAGAGTCACGGTATCACCTGGGCACAGGTTTCTTCAGGTGCCGTAGCACTGGCTCCAAACAAGACCGCCATGTCCAGAGTGTAAATGGTGAACTTCTCCAGAGCGTGAAGAACAGCCGGAGCCAGATGGGAGGTCTGACCCGAGCCTGGTCTGCCCTTCAGGAGAAGCCGGGGGCGGTAGGATGTGGGCTGGCTCAACACACTCCTACACAGCAGAGACAACAAACATCCTGACACTGACAAGGATGTTCCCATTTATTTTCTGTTACCCTTCTGAGATCAAACGCCTAAATAATCTTTATAAAGATTAAAGTCAGTGATACAAGATGAACAGGCAAACATGATAATAAAACAAGTATGAAACCAATACACTTTTATGAAAGAATTCTGAAAACATTGAACATTCCCCCCCAAAAAATCTTAAAATGCTAACAACAATATTTGTAGGAAATGTATACTTTGTATTATTTCCTGACAGGCTGACCTGTTGAAGGTTAGAAGGCCGTTAGCAGGAGGTATCTTGAGCTGCGTCTGGGAGGCTTCAGCATCCTCTTCCTCACTGAACATCAGCTCATCCTCAGACCCTCCCCAGGACACATCTGGACACAAACAACCACACACAGTGCTCCGACATTGGTCAAACTGATGCGCTCTACTCTGCAACAACACCACATAGGCAGTTATCAAATGAAAAATATTACAGCTACCAACAATAGAAAGAGAGGCCCAAAGACAATGAATGTGGTACAAGCTTCACCATGTTGTCTTTTTCTCTTTAATCCCAGCTCAGCATGAGGAAACACCCTGCTGACCGTTTGGAGAATGTTCTGAAAGGTGGAGTTCAGCAGAGGACGAATGGCAGGCAGCAAGGCTTTAGCTGGCGACACCACAGCCCTAAACACATCGAATGAGTTTCACCAGAATCAGCACGAGCAGGCAGATATGCAGTGTGAAAAAGGTTTGCTTGAAGCCTCTCTACCTTTGAGCAGCTGGCACCATCTTAGACATGGCCGACATGAAGTCTTTGTGAGTGATGACAATCGAGTTCACGTCCAGTAAAAGTTTTTGTGACGAGGAGTAGATCTGTGGGTAGCGACGCCGCAGGGCGCACAGGGCCGCCTCCGAACACACGGCTTTGATATCCGCTCCACAGTACCCTTAAAAACAACCAGACACCAGGACTATCAGGACAAGCTCCCAGTATAAATGGAGCACAATGATAATTTCACCAAGGAGACACGTGAAGGTTTGTCTCCGATTCATTCACAGTAAATTTAGAAGAAGCAGTTTTCCTTAGATTTCATCGGCACTTAAGCAAAAGTCAAACCACAGTAGCCGTCTCTTAAGAACAGTTTCATAAATGTGTTCAAACATACCGACACATTTATCTGCCAGTTCCTCCAGGAAAGTCTCAGAAGGTTGAGGAGCCCACTGCCTGGTGTGGATCTTCAGGATGTCCCTTCTCGCCTGCATGAGGGCACCAAGGTTCAGAAACAAGGTTAAAAAGGTGGGAACCCTCTGATTCGAGCTCCACAGTCACCTGAGAGTTACTGTTCTCCTCAAAGAGATGAAGATGCTGCTCACTGTAACATTTTAAAGTGAGATTAGTAAACCTGGCTCCTGCTGGCTGCAAGTGCCTTTTCCATGACCCCATTCATGTACAATATTGTTAGAAATGAAAATCATTTTAACCTCTCTGTCCGGCAGCCCAAACAGGAACTCTCTGTCAAAGCGTCCAGGTCTTCTCATAGCCGGGTCGATGGAGTCCAGTCTGTTTGTGGCTCCGATCACAACAACTTCTCCTCTGCTGTCTAATCCATCCATCAGAGCCAGAAGAGTGGACACAATCGAACTAGAGACAGAAAACGTCAACACAGATCAGCACCAGCCTCACCATCACAAACAGGTACAGGATTTAAAGAGACCCGCTGACCTGTGGATCTGGTCCTGGCGGCTGGATCGGACCGGAGCCAAACCATCGATCTCATCGAAGAAGATGATGGACGGACGCATCTGATGAGCCTAAAAACGAGCCAGTATCAATCCATTATCAACAGTAACACACCCAGACCTGACGGCAGTAAAGGTACAGACGTAAATAGGAGCTGATGTGTTAGAAACGAGTTTTAATTCTTAGGTGATGATTTTCTGCTAATATCAGTTTCTCTTTTCTTCTTTCAGCATTTTCCTTTTTCAAGGGTCGCCACAGCAAAATCTTCCTCCATCTCACTCCAACAACCTCCATGTCCTCTCCAACTGCATCCATAGATCTCCTCTTTTCTTTTTCCTGCCAGCTGCATTTCTAACATCCTTCTACCAATATACCAACTGTCCCTCCTCTGGACATGTCCAAACCATCTCAGACTGGCCTCCCTAACTTTATCTCCCAGTTGTTCAACCTGTGCTGTACCTCTGATGATCTCATTCCTGATCGTATCCATCCATGTCACACTAAGGAGAACCTCAACATCTTCATTTCTGACACTTCCAGTTCTTTCTCCTGTCTTTTTGTCCATGTCTCCGTCTCCAGACCATACAACATAACTGGTCTTGTAAACTTTTCCTTTGAGCTTTGTTGACACTCTTTTGTCACAAATCACTCCTGAAACTTTTCTCCATCCTGTCTGGACTTTTTCACTTCTTTACCACACTCCCCATTTTATCAGTTTCTCTAGCAGGTTATAAAACATCTTTAATAATAACAAAAAGAAATGTAGTCAAAGGAGTGGACGTTACCTGATCAAACAGGAGTCTCAGTTGTCTCTCCGATTCTCCCACCCATTTACTGAGGCAGTCAGCTCCCTTTCTCATGAAGAACGCCACTTTTTTCTCGCCCTGACTGCACTCATTGGCCAGTGCTCTGGCCACCAGTGTTTTCCCAGTGCCTGGAGGACCATAAAACAGAACGCCCCTGAAAACAAAACAAAAAGACATGGTAAGATGAAAAGGAAATTCTCTTAACAAGCAGAGGGGAAACATCCTGAGAGGGTGACCATACGATGCATAAAAGCTTCTGAAAGAATTTGAATAAGCAACATGTTTACAACTAGTCTGCCTTAAAACAAACCAGAACAAAAACTGCACATTATGTGGTTTATGTGAGAAAACTGACTGAAATATTGGAAGTGACTTATGCTCTTGGTAATTTTAATAAGCCAATAACATAATGAGAAAATTAGGCAGATAAAAGACAGAAAAACAAGAGAAAAAAAACTTTTATTTTCATTTTTATTGATAATTTGAGCTTTTCTTTTGTTTGTTTTTACTAAAGTGATGAAAACTAAGACTCTGTTGTTCTGGCTCCAACTGGTGAGAGGTTTCTGATCCATAAAAGAAACACGACCACTTGCTGTCCGTATTCTTCATACCTGGGTGGTTGTATCTTGAACCGCTCAAAGACTTCTGGGTAAAGCAGAGGAAACACCATCATCTCCTTCAGTGCTGAAATGTGTTTGTTCAAACCTCCAACGCTGTCGAAGTGCACCTGCACCAGGTAGAGACAATACTCAACAACATGCAGGTGATGGTTTCCAGCCATTCCTGACATCCTACAAAGTTCAAATGAAGCCAACTGGACACAAGATTATCATTTTAAATTAAAATATCTACTTGTGTTTAACTTTAACATTAGCCAGTGTTTGCCATCTTATATTTTGAAACAATGAGTCAATTAACAGTTTTTAGGTGAAAACACATTTTATTTCTTTAATCCATCAGTTTTTCTCTTTACGAGTTAGGGGTACCGTTTTGTCTATAAGCATGGGGTCCACATCTGCAAGGCTGGCTCCAATCTTCATTCTGTCCTTGCGAATCCCCAGAAGGTCTTCTTTCAACAAGTTCATCGGCAGACATCTTGAGGAGAGAAAGTGGAAAAAAATCTGTTCCCACTCTGCTGCAGGAACTTACTGTCAGGAAAATCAAGCGACACTTTTTGATCTTTGAGTTTGTCTCACTTCTACTGTAGTGAGACGCACTACAGGTTACTGTAACCTCACTCCACGTGTTCTTGCATATTCCTGCAGTCACACACCTGTTCCTGATGCTCTCACCTGTTGACAGACCTGCTCCTGCCCTTACTCCTGCGCCTCTGAAATTTCTCCTCATCGTCATCTGAGGAAGAGGATGTGGAGTCACTACTATGGATGGCATGTCTCCTCCTGCCAGGACGGAAGATGAAAAAAGGTTTTGTTTTAAAACAAACAGCTGATATCTCGTCATCTCACACTGTGCTGGTACACAAAATTAAAATACAATTAGCTTTCACTCAACCAGTACATTTAGAAACATTCCTGTTGCCAGACACTGGTTTATATCAACAGTTTTAGCAGAAGAACCCATCACCAAAAACAATTGATATAAAAAGGTAAAAAAAAAAATAAAGTTTTCCATTTCAATCCTCACCAGCAGGGTTACAACACTCAGGACACCGCTGTCCCAGGTTTATTCATTTTAGAAGTTTGATTAGGATTGAAACTGTAAGACATTTATTGTTGAAGCATCCACAGCACAGGTATGATGTAAAGCAGAAAAACACGTGTGTTAAACAAATTTTCCCTCCACATAGTCTTCTTCCCAACATTACAGCTCATGAAATGTGCGTGTTAAGATAAATCACCAACTTTCATTTCATAGTAAAGAATAAAACCAGTACATCACTGCAGCCCGTCTAACCACAGAGCAAGTATTAAAGCTACAGAGTAAACAACAACAACAACTCCCAACAACCTTGTTATCAAAAACATACAGCACCCAAAAGACAAAGAATAAAGCGACAAAGACAGACAGGGAGGGTCTTACCTCTCAGAACCACTCCTGATGGTGGACGCAAAACAATCAGAAAAAGAAAAGAATAAACAGAAACTGTGGGATGGGTTGAACAGGCGACGATGACGCAAGCGTCACGTTGAAAATGTTTAATTGTGAATTTAAACCAGTCGATAACGCAGGAGTGTCAGTTATAGAGCTGTCCTAATGCCTCACATTTGTTTATCTGCAGGTATAAAAACAAAGAACTAATTTTGTTCTGTACAATCAAATCAAAACATTTTAGTGACCCATATAAAATATACAATAATCGTGTTAAAGGTATTCTGGTTCTGCTAAAGGTCTCTTCCTCATGAGTTTTTTCTTTCCACTGTCGCCTTCATGCTTGCTCAGGATGAGAGTCTGCTCCTCAGATAAATAATGTTATTAACTTACTTTGATATATATAATATTTCTGTTCAGTGCCCTGTGACGTCTTCTGTTGAGACTTGGCACTATATACTGTAAATAAACTGAATTGAGCTGCTAATGACAAATTTATCTGAAGCAAACTTCATGAATGCATTGTGGCGCACCAACCTGCTGCTCCTCCTGCTGTAGGGGCTCCTGGGAGCTGTGGAGCTGAATCTGAACCTGCGTCTGGTCGGAGAGGAGACCTCCTTATAGTACATGCTGCGTTTCCGGGGCTCTCTGGGTTCTGACGGGACAACGAAACTCAAATATATCAAAATATACAAGAAAAAGACTTTTCATTTACAGCCAATACTTTAAAAAGATTGTTGGCATTTATTTATTTATTCATCAAGTCTTTTAGAAGAGCTTCTGCATTTAGATTAAAAGTACTATTCCTATCCCCTGGTGCTAAATAAAGAGTCATAACTGAACTCATTCATTGATCTGACCAAAAACAAGTGAACCGAGCCATTGTCCTGAACAAAAAAAAAAATCAATAACTGACCTGATTGATCTGAACAGATACAGTTGTACTGATCCATTCATCTAAAGATAAACTGAACTGATGCATTGAGCTAAAAGATCAACTGAACTGATGCATTGAGCTAAACAGAGAATAAGTTAACTGAATCACTGATTCAGTTCAGAAACAAACATTTACTTGAACAGAGAATCAAAAACTGAGCTGATTTATTGATCTGAATAAAGAATGAAAAATTGAACAGATTGATCTGAACAGCAGAATTGAGCAGCTGTATTGAACTGTGAAGTAATTTACTGATTGGAATAAAGAATCAATAACTGGAGTGATTCATCTGAACAGAAACGGTACCGTCCAGTGGGGCTTGGTATCGAACCACAGTCTTTCTCTGTCGCAAGTCGTATCGTCGTTGGTTCTCCTCTTCCTCGTCCTCGCCATCTTCATCTTCTCCATCTTCTTCCTCCTCATCATCTCCATCTTCTTCCTCCTCGTCTTCATTATCTTCATCCTCCTCTGTGAAAAAAACAAACGACTTGTTTAAAAGTTTTGTACACAAAAATGTGATCTCCAGATCTAAAGTGTTATTATAAGAAACTAATAAAATGTTAAACCTGTAAATAAAGTTTGCAAATAATCAGAATGTAATTATTTTAAGCACCGACTACACACTTTAAAAAATATTATTATTACTGAAAATATCTGGACATTCACCTAAACAGTGCTGTGAATGTCCAACAAGCCAAAACAACTGATGAGTGCATGTTTGAGTCCATAAATAAGACCTGAATCCATGCGAGTCCATAAATAAGACCTGAATCCATGCGAGTCCATAAATAAGACCTGAATCCATGCGAGTCCATAAATAAGACCTGAATCCATCTCACCCTGGCTCTTCTGCTCAGTGTTTTCACTCTCGGCACTTGTCCTCAGAGACCTCCTCATCCTGTCTTTGAACACATCCAGCTGTCATGAATAAACAGTAAAAATTATTATTTAACCACTTCAAGAGTCTGCCCAAATATCACACGAACGTCAGCGCGATTCCACATGAAACCTGTTAACCGAAGACAAGGCGCTCCATCTAAAAATAAAAGTATAGTGTCATTACCTCTTCTTCAGAATCTCGGCCTCTGCTCCTCAGCCGGCGTCTCATCTTCTTCATGTCGTCCATCTTTTGGAGAACAGCTTCAGCAGTGCTGACAGAACAGGGAAATGAAGACTCGAGAAGAATTTGGTTTACATCTAAACTACCTCCCTGTAGATATAAGGACTCTAAAGAACCGGAGTGAACGTTACTCACTTGGTGATGAGGCGATCGTAGAACACCGACTGGTTACGAGAGCGCCGCTTGTATCTGGTGATTCTGGAGCTTCGTCGCACTGAACAGTCCTCTTCTTCCACCTCCACTTCTTGACTCTGTAGGTTAAAGCGACTCCTTTTGGGGGTTGACGACCCTTCCACTTCATCTGGAACATCTGGGGGGAGGTGGTACATACACTATAGGCCCTCCATATAAACAGAATGAAGCTCAGCATTAATATTAGCAGCTTCTCTGTGGCTGTGTGCTGTACCTGCTCGCTGCTTCTCATCGGATGCTTTTGCCTCTCTCTGCAGCCTGGAAGATTTCCTGGAGACAGAACAGACAAGTTGGGTCAAAAATGAGTTTTTTTCTTCGCCTCTTCTTTTGAAAGCTACAAAAGTGCAAATTTTTCACAAGAGCTATTACAATTTGATATTCAAAGGTCTTTGGATTATCCCTGGTAGTGAAGAGTACGTTTGAACTAGAAACTGTAGAGGAACCCCTCTCCCAGTTCTCCAGAACTCGTGCGACGCCAGCTAAAGGTAGAGGTCTTGTGTTACCTGGTGCAGTAGCCTTCAGCTCGGTCTTCATGCACAGGGGTGCTCATCCTTGGCCCCATGTCGGCAAAAGCAACCTCAGGTTTAACCCTTTGTCCTCTGGACCTGAGGGAGTGACTGAGACCACTTCCATCCTCTTGCTTTGCATCGTAGCCCTGACCCAGTCACAAAGAGTGAAACAGTTAGACCACATATTGGGATCAATCTGCTGCAACGTGTGAGTTTTAATACACACGACAGAGTCTAAACACCTGCAGGGATGAAATACTCCAGTAACGCCACTGAACTTCCAGTTAAACAGCAAACTTAAATATACAGTAGGGCTGTTCAACTGGTGGCCCAAGGGCCAAATCAGGCCCACAGGTGAGCTCAGTTCGGCCTACCAGTGAGTTCATTTTAAAATAAAACTGAATTTAAACCGTGAAACAGACTTAATGACCATAACTGCTGGATGTCCAGCCCCTGAGCTTTTGGCTTTAAGTAAGTACCAGTATGCCCCCCCGATCAATTTAGTTGAACAGCCCTGCAGGGCATTTTCAGCTGATGTCTGGAAAATTAGACATGTTGGAGAACAGTTTTATCAACAAAAAATTAAAGTGTTTTTCAGTGAGCTGTGGAAATCTGGGACAGAGCTCAACAGTTTACCGGATTTTGTCACTGATCAGAGAGAAAACAGCAGAACCATTAAGAGGACGATCCTCATGGCTGGATTACAAGCTTCAAACCCTGCACGGTCTCTGCACACCAGGTTGGTCTGCTAAAGGTGGCTTACGTTTTCAAAGTAAAAAATTAAGGAAAGTTATCCGTACATCAACAGGTCGGTGCTTGGGCCAAGTCTGGTGGTTTTAAAGAACATATGGTTGGTACCTCAAGATTGACATTTAATTAGGGTGACATCAAACTACATTTTAACTGCTTCAGTCACTAATAAATCTCTCAAAGTTGGCCTTTCACTGCTGAAATAGTCCATGCCACTACTTCAAGAGGTTCACAGGACACATGAGATAAAGACGTCTTTGATTTGGGTAACGTGTTCAGGAAATGGTCCAAATTTGAGCTAAATTTGCACCTTGATATCTGGTATGGATGTAGCCTGTAAAAAAAACACTTCTCTTAATAAAGCTGTACATCTTCATACTGCATCTAAAAACTTGTTTACAGCTATTCCTCAGTGTTGTATGTCCTCCACGATGATGACATGTTCTTCCAATGACGTCAGTAAAAGCATAATTAAAATTATCTCACTAACAAACCATTTTATAACAGAAAGGTGTTAAAACCAACATTACTAGTAAAGTTGCGTATAATGGCTACATCTCTGCATTATTTTTTATATAAAACGCAATGACTTTATTTTATCTTATTACATAATAACTTATCTTTTGTGACTAAAACCACAAGCTATCCTTCCAGTGAAGTAACTTTAAAAAAACCCTGTCACATAGAGCTGCTGCAGATCACGTGATCCATCCACTGTTTAAGGTTAGGGCAAAAATGAATGAAATGATCACTTAATGTCTGTATAAACCTCTACATGTTCACACATTTATAACAACAGCAGTGTTTTAGCCAACAATGATTTATGTCACTAATACAGAAATAAATTACACCTGAATAGCTGATAAAAGTTTTAAAGTGCAACATGGAGAATGATGATGCACATCTATTACTGGAACTGAAGCTAAAAAGACAAAAACTAAGTGACCGTATTAGTTTAAACTACAGCTAAATAAACATTAACGTATTAACACAATTTATTCAAACTGAAGCTAAACTGGAGCTAAGGAGGCTTAGCGCGCTAGCTAAGTAGCACCCCCACAAATGACCCCGTCTCCCCCGAACCATGGCTTCTGCAGTGCCTGCTGTCGGTCCTCACACTTACCGAGCAGTTCTCGGGGCTGCTGAAGCTGTTGTTCAGGAACCGTGAGGACCGAGTGGCCCGGGCGGACTTTCTCTGCGTCGCGGCGGGAACCAGCGACAGAAACTCGGAGCTTGTGTCCAGGTCAACCGCCCTCCTCTTCGGAGTAATCGCCTCCGGCTCAGCTCCGACAGAGCCACTGCTGCGTAACACCACCATCTTGACTCACGCGAACATTAAACGATGAGGGAAAACTCCGTCGACTCTTGTTTTACTGCCAACTCGCCATGGCAGAAACAATGTGCAACAATGTGCAACGCCCTCCAGCTCTGAACACCCTTGATTTCTGGCGCCATAAACGTCATCGGATGTTGCGGGGTAAGCCGTCTCCTTCCGCTGATACAAATAGATCCCTCGCTAAACCATGTAAAATCCATGTAAACATGAACTACATCCGATTTTAAACTCAATAATGTAATTCGTTTAAGCACTCCTCACTTTCAACCTTACTACATCATAAACGGCAACTTTTGACAAATAAACAAGCGGAGGGATACATAGTACACGGCACGGTGTTGCTTCGAAGTGCGCGCGCTTAATTTTATAAACTACCGTTTGAAAACAAGATTATTCAGTGAAAACAACGACCCAACAACAGCTCACCATGTTTTATTGAAGAAATTACATAAATCAGAAAAAGAAGGTACAAATTTCAGAACTGTCTCTGACCTGAAAATAAGAACAAATCATTTAAATCCGTTACAACCAGATCCTGACTGAAAATCTCAAGCTCTCCATTACATCCTCCCTCACCTGCTAATTCTCGTCACCTTCCAACCGAGGACTGACAAAGATGTACAAACTACCATTTGATAAACGAAGCTTGATTTCTACTAAATATTTTGTGCAACAGTAGGTCTCACGCCACACTCGGGTTATAGTAGAATTTAATAAATGATATTTCTAATCAGTGCTTAACCTCCAAACTGCCTTTGCAACAACAATGAGCAATAAAAAAAGAGGATTAAATGGAAGACTTGAAATTTTCCTCATCAGAATCCAAGTTTTTCATGTGCACAGTAGACAACAGCCACATTACTGGTGCATGTGTTGAGTAAAGTCTCATGTGTTTAATGTATTTGTGAGTGACAAGTTTCGTAAAGTAAACTAGTTTACATTCATTTGGTGACGAACTGTAAACTCATGGTTGTGGAGCTTGAAACAGTTTAACCAGAATGCGATTAAAGCAAACTACAGTATCTGAAAAATGTGTTTACAAAAATGAGCCATGTGACTGTTGACTACTGTGCTGCTGAGTCTGGTCCTGAAAAATGTCCGTCAGGGAGGGTGTGTTCATGCGATGGCAGACAGGTAGTCTTTCACCTCCGCTGGGGTCAGTCTTTTAAAACCAGCTTCGTTGCAGATCCCCACCTCAATGTTCTCCTCTGTCATCTGACCCTCAAAACTCTCCTGAAACACAAAGGCAGGAGCGTAAAGAGTTAATCTGAAAAGGTACGAAACTGATAACAGATAAATGATTGTGACACTTATGATCCACCTTCAGTGTGAGGATGGCTGTGTGGATGGCATCCTCTAACTCCAGGTCGTTGTTATACCTACAGAGAGAGAAACCATCAAGTTCACTTCAGAAAGCTTAGCCAGTGACACTTGGATAGCCCAGTGACTGAAAGTGAACTATGACGTAAATTAACTCAAAAAAACATTTTAGACTTTTAACATGCAAAAGCAGGAATTAACTCTTGAGGATTGTCAGGATGTGCAGCAAAACTGCTGGCATAGCCCTACAGAACCTCACTGACCTACAGAACCTTCACTGACCTACAGAACCTCACCGACATACAGAACCTTCACTGACCTACATACCCTTCACTGACCTACAGACCCTTCACTGACCTACAGACCCTTCACTGACCTACAGAACCTTCACTGACCTACAGAACCTCACTGACCTACAGAACCTTCACTGACCTACAGAACCTCACTGACCTACAGAACCTCACTGACCTACAGACCCTTCACTGACCTACAGACCCTTCACTGACCTACAGAACCTCCACTGACCTACAGAACCTCCACTGACCTATACAAGGTGAGGTCAGTGAACAAGGCCAGGCTGGTTCTGGCAGATCCTGATCACCACTCCATGGTGAGTTCAGGTTGCTTCCATCTGGACGCAGGTATCTGCAGCCCAGAAGTAGAAGAACAGACTGAATAACTCATTCATCCCTGTAGGGATCAGTCTTCTCAACGAACAGTGATGATCTCTGTTATTTTAATGTCTCAATGTCTTGTCTAGTACGGATGTTCCGTGAGTCTGATGACTGTGAAACAGTCTGGCCCTTGGGGATAATAAAGATTCTTGAACTCAAACTAGGTTTGTACTTTGACTGTCAAAGTTAAACATAAAAACCTGAAAAAGCTCTGCTGAGAAATACTGCTCACAGAACGTCAAACAATACCCAAAGTAATATGCTTTGAATGTGGATATAAAATTTATGTTTAAAACAATTAAATCAAATTTATTTATATAGCACATTTAAAAACAACTGTTGGCCAAAGTGCTGCACATAACACAAAAAGTGTGAAGACAATATAAAAACAGGGACAATTAAATGAATATAATTTTATTATAGAAAAACAGTCCTTATTTTTAAACATGTACCTTTTCTCAAGGAATGTTTTTCCGTTAACGTAGTTCTTTCCCATAGCTGTGGCCTTCCATGCAAAGTACGCCCCCTGCCCGACAGAAACAAAAGATTAAACAGTAAAAGTTAGTGACGCTGCACGTCTCTGACCGATCTATAGGCTGTAGAAGTTTCACTAACAGAAATACAGAACTGCCTTTCTGTAAATGTGAAATAAAGCAACGTACAGAGGGGTCAGACTGGAACAAGTAGGGGTGGTCCTCATCCCATCCAGCTATCAGCAACGACACACCAAATGGACGCACCCCCCTAAATGAACGGAACACACATTAAGACATAACTCAACAGCTGACAAACACAATAAAATATTTCCAGAACCACAAATGGAATCATGAAGAAACAAGTCATTGAAATACGACACCAGTAAATGTGGTGATAATGTGTGTGGAAACCCACCCGGACTGTGTGTACTCCTGCATTACAGAGGCCACCCTCTGGACCAGCTGGCCTGTGGGAATGGGCTCCTGGTACACCAGGTAGTACTGCTGCGCCAGCTTCCGAGCTCGTCGCACTAAAACCCTGTCGGGGGGGGGGGGGGGGGGGGGGGGGG